TTCATATGAGGTTCGGGTTTAGGAGTAGGCTTGGTATAAGGTAATATAATAAATGTTTTTATGGTATAAAATGCACTACGCCAATGATATATATAAATTGAATATCAAAATTCAAATTAAAAAATAAAAAATTCCACCAAAAATTCTTCAAAGAACATTTCCTTAAGTATAGTTTGACATCAGAAAACAGTCAGTGCCAATGGTGTAGTGGAAAGTGTTGACACGTGCACTCCAGTGCTCACTGTGACGAGTTTGATTCCCGCTTCAAGGTCCTGTGCTGATCTTTCCCCTCTCTCTGCTCCACAAACTATCCTATCAATACTCTGTCCTATCTAATAAAGGTGACCCCCCCCCCCCCCCCCACCCTAATATAAAAATCAGAGAACACATTCTGAGACCAGTTTATAAAGAATGAAAGAACGAAGTGAAGTGATTGATACTTTTATCTTATAATTCTGTGTTTACATCACAATTTAGCAAAAAAAGACAAGGTATAAAATTGGAATTGCAAGTAAAAAAGTCAAAATTAAAATTAAAATATATAATTCAAATAAATATAATTCAAAAAATTTTCCTCATTCAAATTGTCACTGTTTCAGATTTAGACTATTTAAATTAAATTAAATTTAAATTCACTGATATTCTGCTGGTTATTGTAAAAAAAAGAGGGGAGGAGCTGTTCAATCTGTCGTATTCTGTTTCAGTGGAAATCAACACACTGAATAAACTGCACGTTTTAAAGGGATAGTTTACCCAAAACTTTAAATTCTGTCATTATTTACTCACCATTCACTTCTTGAAAATCTGCTTGAGTTTCTTAATTCTGTTGAACACAAAATAAGTTATTCCGAAAAATGTTTAAAACTAGTAGGGAGAGAGCGTGGACGAAAGTAAAGTGGGACAAAAGTAACAAAGAGATTTTCTCGAAGTCCTAATAACATTTGATTTCAAGGCTATAACAGCACATTCAGCATGCAACCCTTGATGGAGCTGCCAAATATCAGCTGATTTCAGGACAGTGTCCTGCAGTTAGGTCTGAATTTCAGTTTTTTAAGTGCAGAAAGTAAATTATTGTAGCAGTCCTTTTTTCTTATTACAAGTTGTGTTTCTCTTTTCATGCATCCCAGTAATGATCAATCTATAAGTTATTTAGTGCAGTAACACATCCTTAAGTTTGCAATCTCTGAGTTTTTCATTTTTAAAGTAAATCAGGTTTAAATGTCAAGAGTTCCTGTGGGCATGAATTTAACACTGTTATTTACTGTATGTCCCACTGATAAGAGCCATACATTATTTTTCATTTTCACATTTGAGTTTTCAGTGTTTGGATTCAGATGTTTAAACAATATAAAAATAATTTAAAATGTTAACATATTACATTGTTAGATTTTTGCAAAAAGGACAAAACATGTTTGCAGTTAACATCAACAAGGTTATAGTCAAATATATTTCAAATAAACTAGATTAAGCCAGTAAATCTAGCAAATATTTTTGTTACTTCTGACCAACTTGCGTGCTACTGTTAGTCTGTTTATGGGGCCAAAAGTAACAATGTGCATCTAATGTGCAAACAAAAATATACTTCTGCTAAAAATTATCTTTTAAAATGAGGTTTTTATGAAAACTCTTCCCTGCTCTCCCCAATTCATTGGCTTCCTTAATTGTATTATTATTTTTTTTTTTTTTGCTTCAATATCAATGGTTACTAGCATTTTTTTCCCAAATGAATTTATTTTGTGTTCAGCAAAAAATAAAAATAACTCATAAAGGTTTGGAAACAGGCACTTCAGGTGGTCTTTAAATATCACCACCAGTGTCCTCTATAATGATTACTGTTTATAACAACAAACTAGACTACTGGAATATTAGACCATATGGAATGCTTAATCACAACCATGTAAGAGGGAGGATATTTTCCGATCGCACATGAAGGCAGGATGAGGGCAGAGGAGTAACAGAGAATAATAAATGTCCAGTGTTGAGTTCATTAATAAATAAGCAACTTTAAACTCTTCAACCTCCTTTAAAATTTTCCATTCAGGCACCAAAACCCATAAACGTCTGCTCCACATATTCTGACCAGTTATCGAATAAACCTCAGTTTTAAAACTATTCTGGCTTAATATGAATACTAAGAATACACTATCGTCTTAAGTACATACTATAGGCTAATATATGTTTTTAATAGTAGTTGAGTACTAATGCTTAAAAAACATTTTAATTTCATTTAAATTACACCATGTTTTTCCTCAATTCCCCCAAGTGGATAATGAACACACAACTTTCCGCTCTGTTAACAAGCTGTCACCTCTGACACAGGCTGCAGAAAGACAGGCGGCTCAGAGCCCAAAAATGGACACAACCCCCGTCGGTTCATCTCTGGCTAATGTCAAACACAAGGTATAACCATGTTTTCTTTTACTATTACCCTGTGACAGCCTCCCTCGATCCCCCCCCACTCGTACTCGGTCCATTCTCCTCTTGTTTATGTGTGTTTGTTATGGAGCGCAGCTAAGAGACAGACCCATATGAAAGTAATAGATCAGCCTGAAGAGATGCAGACTAGTGATTCAGACCCAGAATTTACGAGAGCGAGTGTTAGGCATCCTTGCTTTGTTTGATTTGTTTCTGGTATTTCGTACTCACTTCTTGACAGTAGCATCTGTCTCTTTTGAGATCTGAAATCTATGCTAAAACTTCATACACACACACAGGGCACACACTTATGTAAGAATTATATAAGATTTGTTCTGGGAAGCATTGAAAAAACTTGCTTGCTTATGATGTTAAAATTTATTGTGTATTCTTGTTAACTTTTGGTTTTATATTTCTATGCTATTGTGGTTTTATTACTATTGCTTAAAAGGGCACCTATGATGAAAATCTAATTTTGTAATCTCTTAAAGTGAAGTGCCATTTTGGGCTTCCGCCTGAATTTTACCTACCCAAATTTAAACGCTTCTAAAATCCACATGCAGAAGTGTAAATTCAAAAGTCTGGTATAATTAAAAAAAAAACTTTGAATTTTCATAAACACTGTTGAAAGTGATTAAAACAATTGTATATGTTGTCTGTTAATAAACCCCTCCAAAAAAAGAGGTGCTTTTTTTGTAAACTCAAATTTGAAAGTGTAACTTTTAGGTTCTGTGTGGTCTAGGTTGCTGTACTTAAATTGTTAATTTTTTAAATGGTTCCTGCACATGTCAGTAATTCTAAGAAAAAAGAGAAAAGCCTCTATCATAATCTATGCAAAAGTTATTCTATTCCGACTGATGAAAGATTGGAACCACTTATAGGAGTATTGGGCCAGTACGGATATTTTAAATTAAAAGAATGCGGAAGTAAATGATGCCACGGATTCCTGACGTCAAAATAAGACCCACATCACAGTGATATTGAGGTCCACCACAATGTGACGTAGGAGTGCAGTTCCCTATTCAGTGAATTGATTGACAGAAGCCATGTTTCTATAATACCGTTTACACATGTCCACAGAACATTTTTTTTGCAAATAAACTTAAAATATTAGTTACAACTTTTTGTGATTTTTATAAGTTTAAAATGTTTTTAAGGTGTTTTCACACTTGTTATGTTCTGAAACAGGGATTAAAACTGTTTCAATGTTGCACTTAGTACTTGGTGCGGTTTGCTTTCCCACAGCAAAGTTTCTAAATGGACTAACTGAGCTAAAACAAGACATGTGCAGGTAAACTCTCCTCGCATTGGTCAGAGTTTCACAGTTTATTTTACATGGTATATTTTGCACAGTTTATTTTGCTCAGCTGTCATGCGTCTTTATTTTAATTTATGACAATGAGCAACAAGACATTATAAGCGAAAAGCTGCACTTTTATTTTGAATGGTGACACCCATAGACATCGTCATCAAGTATAAATCAGAGGTAAGACTCTCTCATACATACCCCTTGGCTAGAATTGTCCATTTAAATTATAGAGAGATATAGCTGATAAACCAAGACAGCAGTTCCGTCAGTTTTCCTAACAGCTCTCGTTAATATTTCAGCATGCTTTCACTTTCGTATTTGAAATGAAACGCACATTTACTGGTAGGAATGGTATCCCTCCCTACTCATAGTTCTCTCTTCATATAGCCATACATGCCTAATTCATATCCATAATACACTGTGATGTAGCTGGGCTCCGATTGTTCTGCTTTCTCGCTACAATCGATCCGCTCCAGAGTCTGTTTTAATCGAGCCGAGACCACCTCATTCAGGCGATCTCGGACCGATTGTTTTGGCGTGGATCCGAGTGCGATTGCTGGATTCACATATCCTAAAGGAACTGCGCTAACTGGGGAAACGCACCAGGTTCCGAAACAAAAGTCTAGGTGTGAAAGCACCCTAAAACACAGCATGTTTGTAATAAAGGCAGTAAAATCACAATGTAATTTTTTTCCTCTATAATCACCATGGCGTCAGTAAATGCGGATATGTGTGTGTGTGTGTGTGTGTGTGTGTGTGTACTGCAAACGACATTTGTGTGAGACTCATTATATCAGAAAGGCTTGAATAAACTCCACCACGAATACATCAAATAAACTTACTTGGGATTTTTGACGAATGAGCTGTATTTCAGCTTCATCCGTGTCTGTCTATCACTGACTGCTGTTTATCCGACGTAACGCATGATGAGAAACATGTGGGAACGGTGGACAAAGAGAAGCAGCTCATTTGCATTTAAAGTCACAGGCTACATTAACAGCTCCACTGTACGCAGACACCAAATGGGCAGATTCTGAAGGCTTTAATAAATAATCTGATGGGTAATTTGAGCTGAAACTTTACAGACACATTCTGGAGACACTAAAGGCTTATCTTAAATCTTGTAAAGGGGGTAAAATAGCTGCCCTTTAACATATTTTACACGTGTATAACATACACACACACACACACACACACACACACACACACACACACACACACACACACACACACACACACACACACACACACACACACACACACACATAAAACTGGATTTCTGGGTCAAAGTAGAATTTTATTTACAGAATGACAAATATGTTTTCTACAAGTCGAATAAGAAAAAATGCAGTCATTCTGTGTGTGCTTTTAACGCCTTTTGTATTATTCATAATTGAATGGCATTTAATAAATCCCGACATTTGACCTCAGCAAGACATTCTCTCAAATTCAAAGTCAAAAACACAAAATAAGCGTTACATGGAAAGATTTGTACACATTTTGCTGATTCTTGGATAATTGGGAATAAATAGAAGATTTACATTTTTTATAGGTTTACTTCATATGAAATGTGATATCACATACTCGTGTTATGTGTACCAAAAATATTGTACAAATATTTAAAATTCCCAGGAAACACTCAGTTTTATATTCTCTTTAAGAACAGGGGGAAAAATATTTTGTGTCATTTGAAAAAAAAATCTAAATTAAGGTCAAATATTTAAATATATGCAATAAAACCAGGCCACATGGCAAATAAGTTACTGTTAATGTCTTCCGATTATGCAAATCTTGAACATGAATGTTTAATGAAAATGTAATGTAATGATAAAACAAAATAAGGGTGTGAGTGTTTATGGTGATGGGTGTCAGTTTGTGTGCTGAATGATGTTTGTGTGTTGACTTTAGAGCATAGCTTTGGTCTCTCCTTCAGCTGTGGCTCTCTGCTTATCTTTCTTTTTGATTTGATACAAACAAATGCCCAAGAACAAACCTGAAACATCACAAAAAAATCCATCTCAATTAGTTTCTTTTTACTATAAATATTTCAAAAAAGGAAAAAAAAAATAATAATTTTTCTTACCAATGACGCCGAATACTCCTGCCAGGATGCCGATGGTGCTGCCCATGCTTAGTTTCCAGCTGTGAGAAGCTGGCTCGATGTAACAGTAGCCCAATTTAGTGCAGTTACAAATACGCACTAAGAGAGAAAAGGAAATCAATCCCAGCTTAGATATCATGTAGGATCATACAGTAAGGTAATGTTACATATGAAAAACCATGATTAAAAAAATCCTTTACCATCAAACTTTTGTGTGATGCCAAGCCCAGCGTTGTCTAAGATGTTGATAGGAACAGTGACGTTCTGTTCAGTCGAGGGTTTCTTCTTCAGGATCAGTTTCGCTGAGGTTCCTGCAGATGCACAAACAGGTTTAATAACCCACAGCTGTACATTTCACCACCTTGGAATTAAAAGGTTCTATCTGCATTCTGAATGATTTGAGATGTTGAGCTTTAAAGTTTTTACATTCCATATAGCAAACAGTATGTGTGTAACATTTGTTTTTTTTTAAATAAAAAGTCTTAAAATGTAAAAAAAAACTTATAAAAACACAACCCATAATGTAAATAAGTTGTCATTTAATGAGAATATGTCAATAACTCTATTTTGACAAAAATGTCAGATAGAACCTTGTCATTCTAAGGTGACGATTTTCAGAACTTGCAAGTATGTTTTCTGCAAGCCCTGCTGATTGAAAACTTTTTGACTAGTGTTATGAAAGGTGAACGAGGCATGAAAAGCATGCAATTTTTATAAGTGTCAAGATGGCAGCGTTGTGTTAAGGCAGCAGTTTTGGAGGTGTTTTTTTGTACACATACACTCGAACAGATTGACCACGCTTTTTAGACATTTTTTTAAGGAAGATGATATAACGTGATGTTTGTGAATGTACACTACCAGTGTAAATTTTGTTTTACTATGTGTATAAAAGCTCCTTTTATTTAATTGAAAATACAATAAAAACTGCAAAATTGTGAAATAATATTGCATTAAAGTTTTAATTTCAATGTTTTCTGTCATACAGAGCTGAATTCTCAGCATCATTATTCTAGTCATCAGTCAGCCTCACACATCCTTCAGAACAATTATTTTTTGTTCTCAGACATTAATAATGATAAACGCTGAACTTTTTTTTCTGATTACTTTTTTGGGTTTCTTTGATGAAAAGAAAGTTAAAAATAAAATCATAAAAATATTATTTAGTTATGTATTTATTAAAAATGTATTTACATTCACTCTTGGAAAACTTATTGTGTCCTTGATAAATAAAATGAAATAACGTTTTACATTTGGGATACACTGGTAAATTTCGATTGGTACAGTATGATTTTCCACAAAAAAACATGGAGCAGACAAACAGTTGTTAACACTGATAATATTAAATGTTTATTGAGGAGCAGATGATGATATTAGAATGTTTCTGAAGGATCATTTGATACTGAAAATTGAAATAATGATGCTAAAAAGTCAGCTTTAAGCTTAGAAATTGTAGCTATTTATTTATTTATTATTTTTTTATTTTAAACTACATACAAAATAATAATATCTCACAATTTTACAGTTTATACAGTATTTTTCATTAAACAATAAAAGGCTGTGTGAGCAGATTAATAATAAAAAAATTAAATCATACTGATCCAAAAAAATGTTAAAAAAAACTGATGAAAAAACATCTGATGTTTGTAAATACTGTTGATTCCAAAACATTATATATAATCAAAGTCAATGGCTTCCAATTAACAACATTCTTTAAACTATCTTCTTTTGTGGTCAACAGAAAAAAGAAAATGTGTAAAAGATTGGATCCATCACAACACGAACTATTGTTTTACTGTGATAAAATCTCATGTTTCTTTAAAAGACATTTAGACCCATTTACATTCTGTAATACTAGTTGTGTCACATCACATAATGTAAGAGAGCTGCTTAGAAAATCCTTGATATCTCAGGACTCAATTAAAATATATAAAAATTCCCTGACATTCATGTCTGACTTTTTAAAGTTCCATGATATTCTAGAAATTCCTGCATTGTTAATTTTTTTTAATTACTTTGGTCTCTTTTGCTTTTCATTAAACATTTGTATTTTGTAGAGCTGAGTGATATAGTAACTTCTTCTCTGCGTGTGATACACTTTGCATGCTAATGAAGCATTTTTGCAGAAGTATAAGTTTCCTGCCGCTGGCTGGAAAGATAGAGCAACATCGATATCTGAAAATAACTTTAACTTCTAACTTTGCTTCCTTGTTGAAGAAAAGATGTGCTGAAACTAGGGGTGTCATGTTTCATGATCGAAATTTATGCTCAATTTTAATTATCGAATCAAAAAATAGAATCGTCGATGCTGCCACGCCCCCATGTCACGTCAGCTTGGCTTGCCAAGTGGGAAAAAACAGGCTTGTTGAAGTGCTTGTTAAACTGCAGATACAGGAGACCCGTCGACAGAGCTTAAATCCTCTCCTCTTTCAATGAAGTCGCCAGTGTGTAAGCATTTTGGATTTCCAGTGAGTTATGTTGACAACGTTCGTGTTGTCGACAAAAAAAACACAGTTTTGCAAGCTCTGCTATGTACGTATTAGGGTTCATCCGATAGACAACACCGGCATCGCGATCCTCCGCCCGCCCCCGTTGCAAATCCGCTCGCGAAAAGTACACACTCAGGCCCTGTTTACACTGTCTTTGTTTTTAAATGGCATTTTAGAACGACAACGATTTGACATCCACAGTGGCGTGTAGCATTTCTAAGCAGCCCTCCTTCCTCTCTACCTCTGACACACACACACACACACACAGACACAGACGCACACAAACAGCCATGGGCTCGAGACATCGGGTTCAGGCAGTCATAGGATCAGTAGACTGCTTCAGTCTTTCACTCACTTGTACTTAGTCATTTTAGCGAACACCTCAGATACTGTTGGCTGGTTCCTGTTGGTTGTGCGTCTTTTTTTACCGACGCCATTATAACGACACAGATCACTATTCATGAGTCCCGCAGAAAAAGTGATTGACAGGTGGTAATTATGTGTGTATCTTGCCTTTATTCATTTACTGTATGATTTGTTTATGGGTAAAACAAAGACCACGCAGGTCAGGTAGTTTAAACGGTAGGCTACAAATAATTAATTGGTCATTAATTAATTAATTATTCATAATCGAAAATCGAATCGAATCGTGCCTTTAGAATCGAAAATGTAATCGAATCGAGGATTTTGAGGATCGTGACACCATTAGCAGAAACTGAACTCTGCAGTTGAGAAGTTTTATGCTTTTAACTTGAGCAAAGAATTTGTAGAAAAGAGGAAGTATGTGTGGGTGCGGGTGCCTGAGGACTGCAGAATGATTGACAAGTTAAGAATTCCAAACCTTTTAATGTAATTGTGTATAAATACTGGAGTCTGGGAAATGTCGAATGGTTGCGAACCTTCCGAATATAATTCTTGGGTAACACTTTACAATAAGGTTCATTAGTTAATGCATTTACTAACATGAACTAATCATGACCAACACATGTAGAGCATTTATTAATCATAATTGAACATTTACTAATGCATTATTAACATCCAAGTCCATGCTTGTTAACATTAGTTAATGCACCATGAGTTAACATGAACTCACAATGAACAACTGTATTTTCATTAACTAACGTTAACTAGCATGAACAAATACAGACGTAAATGTATTGTTCATTGTTTGTTCATGTTAGTAAATGCATTAATTAACATTAACTAATGAACCGTATTGTAAAATGTGATCAATTCTTGTATTGTATTGGTGTTCTCTAACCCAGAGCTCTGTTATTGAACTATTTACTGTATCTAATAAATAACTAATATTTTTGACATTGAAGAAAATTTTTTATTGGACACGCATGGAATGGCTAGATATTCCAACAACATCCTTTTTCGAATCAACCTAGGAATTTGGGTAATGTCTTGATTTTTAAGCTTTGTTTCAAGCTGTTCACATAGTGGCAAAAAAAAGTTGAGTATTCATAAACACAGCATTCAAGCATCAATCATCACCTGCTGTATGACCAGATTTCAAGCTTTATAGATGAAAGTAAATTAAATAATATAAATAAAAACCATTTAAAGTCATCATGAAACGAAAGTTAAGATGTGCATTTTTTTCTCTACATCTACTTGAAATGGTCTGAAATTAGAAAAAAAGTATTGCGGTGCCTGATTTTCTCCTTTGGTAACTGATTGGATAAATGGAAGCTGTGTGTCGCTAACAAAATGAAAAATGATTGACGAATGGATAAAGGCAAAGCAGAAATGACACACACTCTCATAGCCACGCCCTAAAGGTATTCTATGTGACCAGAAGTAAAGAAAAGTCGTTTGGAGGGTTATATATGATTGAAGATTTTAAGCAATTAAATTTTTACAAAATAATGAAATGCACAGGATCCTTTATAACATGCACTATGTACAGATAAAGAAGAGTACAGTTTGATTGCATTGGAACTTTAATTATACTGTACATCTTAAAATACCCGTTTTAAAACTTTTACATAGACTGTTTATTACACCTGAGGTTACATATAATGAGTCCTGGTCTGTCTGAGCTGTGTTTCAAATCGGACATTGGATCTTTCAGTCTTCGTATGTGGAGTTGTCCTCTTGTACAGCAGTTGTGGGACTTGATTAGGCTTCAGCTCAACTTTTCATCTTTACTCATCTTATCTCATTTTTAAATGGATGGGTCTTACTGGGTCTCAATGATGATGTACCTTATAATTTTCGAAACAGAGACCTTCTACTGTACAAATTTTGGTTTACCTTGCTCAAAATGTATCCTTGTAAAGTAGATTAATGAAAAAAAACCCCAGTTAAAAAAATAGCTGCTTGAACATCTTCACAGCTATGATGAACAAACCCTTTCTATTTGATCTGAACTCTTTTCTTTGATTATCTAGAAACCTCTATGTTTCTAAGACTGAAAGCTTGCCTGTTAGACTCAGCCTGGACAAAAGAAATGTTATCTGCCTTTTTGTAAAATAATTTAGCATTTTATGCTCTTATTTTTTTAAATAATTTATTTTATTTAATTTGTTTGTTTGTTTATTTATTTAATTACAATTTAATTTTATTTATTATTTTTGTATACATTATATAAATGACATGAATAATAGATATTATCTTATTATTCAATGTAAATTTCTGACATGTTTTTGCACTAAAAACTTTTAATAAAAAAGTATTTGGAAATAAATAAATGAATGAAAATAGCGCTTTTAATAAGTCATAGACTAAACCAAAGATCTGCTCACCATCCACAGGTTTGATCTCAAAGTTTTGTGATTTTCGGCTGATGGCGAACGTGAAGGGCTCTCCGTAGGGGTCTGCGTCCTTATCCATAGCAGTGAGGGTCAAGGGGGTCATGTCCTGAAGGCAGATGAAGCCCTGTGTCTTCTGGAGTTTAGGGTAGTTGTCGTTTACATCCTGCAGATGAATGTCCACCTTCATCTCAGCCTCCATCTTGTTTCCCTCTGAAAAGAAAAGACATTGGTTTTTAAACTGACCAGATGACATTCGCCTGCATCAGAGCTCTGCTGGTTTCTGACCGGTCTCATAAGCGGTGATTGTGAGAGTGAGATGATCCACTGTCTCTCTGTCCAACGCTGCTTTAGTCTTCAGCTCTCCAGTGTCAACATTCAGCTCCAACCACTTGTGTTCATCTCCTTCCATCTTAAACCTAGCAAACAGAACATTTCAGGTGAGTGATTAATAAATAGCAGTACTAAACTGAGGAACCAGGCTAGAAGTATTGCTGGAGATAAAGTTGTCAGAACGCTATAAAAATATGAGATGTAAAAAGCCTTTTAAAGCTACTCAATAAAGTTATAGATTCTAAAGTGTTTTTTTGTTAAAGTGATGAATGGGTTATTTCATCACGAATTGAAAATTCTGTCAACATAAACTCACCTTTTATTTGTTTCACTTTCTTTATTTCTTTTTCAGGTTATATTTGAGAAAGTGTTTTTCCTACTAAGGATGCCAATGAATAATACCCATTCATAATATCTTCCTTTGTGTTTAACAGAAAAAAAGAAACTCTTGAGGTACAATACACTTGAGGGTGAGAAAAATTATTTTTTAGCTGAAGTAACACTTTAAATTTTCATATTGTCATATTGTTCATGTGGAAAAAAAGGTCAGGGGCCTCTTGTATCAAAGCTGCGTACCAACAAAAACGTTGCGCAAGCCAGGATTCACGCTCATCTTTGGATTTATTATTGATGAAATTACGGTGAGAATGTGCGTTGGTCCACGCCAACTTCATGTCTGGCGTACGTGTATTTCTTGTGTGTGTTTGTTTTGTTTCCATTGGCGACTCATAGAGGCAATTAGGTTAAATTGCACACTACAAAGTATGGCAGCAACACATGTAAAAAAACATTGCTATTCATTTATAATTGATAAAAAGGGTAATTTAATTTTATTTTTTTTTACCATTTATGTGATTTAGAACATATAAAAGCATTTGCATATGTATACAACCTTTAGTCTATGGCAATGGGAGTGTTGGCCTTATTTGAGGACATTGTCAATGATCGAATCCGAAGGGAAACTGGCTTATTAGCCGTTTCAGATTTCCAAGAGCTATACTCTTTTGGAGCTCTGTGCTGGGTTGGGTCCAAATTTGGAAAGAGAGATAGTAAGGAGGCTCCATGGTGGCAGGGTGGGCAATGGGTGGCTTCTTGGAGAGTGATGTATTTAAAGATATTATTTCAGCTAAGTTTGTTTATTTAATTTTATTGAGCGTAATTATTTAACTGCATATCAGGAGGTCACGGTTATCCATTTAAGACGTGGCTGTTAACCCCCCTCAACAACCCACTAACTGACCAAAAGTGCAGAAAAAATGATGCCCATTCTCACACTCGGTCAGTTGTAGAGCGGGTGATTGGGCAGCCAATATGCTGGTGGCACTGCCTTGATAAGAGCGGAGGGGTGCTGCTATACCGCCCTAACAAAGTGTTCCTCTAATACACAGGTGTCAAACTCAGCTCCAAAAGGGCCGCAGCTCTGCACAGTTTAGTTCCAACCCTAATTAAACACACCTGATCAAACTAATAGAGTCCTTCAGGCTTGTTTGAAACCTAAAGGTTAGTGTGTTGGAGCAGGGTTGGAACTAAACTGTGCAGGCCTTCGGCCCTCCAGGAATTGAGTTTGACACCCCAGCTCTAATACATCTGTGTCTCTCACAGACATGGATACTGACGGATATTGAGGTAACTCTCTCCTCAAAGGGTGTTAGTTCAGCATCACCCTTTCCCTTACCTGTTTGGTCCACACTTTGACAGTGCCCCGATGTTCCCCTCCTAATCTGCACCTTTACACCGGACCTTTTTTTTTTAAACAATTCGCTCACAGTTCGATGTTTAGACTCCACTGCATTAACCGCGTCAGCTAAACTCTCCCACCCTATTTTTTTTCTTTTGTTATTAATTCCGGAGGACAAACTTGCAAATAACACGTTTTTTCTCTGTTCTACCTCTGACAGGATCACCTCCAATTCACATTCTGTGAAGTTTCTCTTCTTGCTTGCTTTTGTCTTTGCTTTTTCGTATGGTTTTGCCAAAGTGGAATCATTAGCATATTTATACAGGGGAGGAGGCAGGGAGGGGTTTTTGCGCTCGTGCATGTTGCACAGTGTTTCATTCATCTGAATTTACAGCTTTGTCCGTACACAATGTTTTAGTATAAATTCAATGCAAGTCTTTGTACATGAGGCCCCAGATGTTCCTGTTTTTTGGATAAATTCAAAATCCAATTAATGGAGAACATGATCATGATGTTTTAGAGCATGAGTGATCTATTTAAAGTTATTATTTTGACATAAAGGCTTAGTTTACCCCAATATAAATCTTACAAAATCAGTCATAAGGGTCAATTTTATGATATTGAAATTTATAAACCTGCAGCTGAATAAATAATCACCTTGTTGTTGTATGGTTTGTTAGTATAGACTAATGTTGGCTGTGGTAGAAATTAACACAAAGGGTTACAAATAAAAAGGGTTCAATAAAAATCTAAATGTTTAGAAAATTACATTTAAAATTGTCCAGATGAAGTTATCAGCAATTAACATAGTATATTACTAGTATACTATAGTTTTTATATAGTTACAGTAGGAACATGACCTTTATTATCATTTTGGCATAAAATAAAAATCAATAATTTTGACTATTTTTGATAATTTCAAAATATTCTTGTGCAAAACAAGATTGTTTTGTGCTCCAGTATAATATAAAAACCAAAACAAAGCTCTCTCTCTCTTCAATAAAAAAGAAGACTCTCAAATCTCAAAAAAAGTAGACAAAAAAAGCACAGCATTACTTGATAGTCTTTCCCTCGGGATCCTTGGCTTCAGCTTTCATTAGTAGGGTTCCAACCGTGATGTTTTCTGGCACATTGACATTAAGCCCCTCCACTTCAAACTTTGGAGGCTCATCCACGTCCACCAGCTCAATGACAACAGATGTAGTGGAACTGTCATTATATTCCACTCCTGCGATCAGGGGCTCGGGATTACGGGCATCAATCTTAAGATTGTAGACGCTCTGGAGCTCATAATCCAGTGGCTGACGATTGAGAATATGAAAACAAAGACATAAAAAAAAGCATGATGAATGTACAATTTTTGCACTCTGAAAAAGGATCCTTATCATAAGTAGAGTGTTGATACCTGAGCGATGTAGACTCTGCCCTCTCCAGTCTCTTCATCAACCTCAATGGCGAAGAGGTTCTGAGGGTCTCCAGCTGTGATGTGATACTCCACTCTAGAGCTTCCTGTTCCTGTATCATCCGCATCTGTGGCTTTAATGTTGAGCAAAGTTGTGCCCACTTCAGCCAGTTCGGGAACACTGTAAGTTCCATACTGCGACATGAGACAGAAAAAAATCAACAAGCAGAAAGCAAATCAGAGCAGAGATTCAGCAACCTATTGATCGCAGTTTATGTAGGTAGTCAAATAAAAGCACATACATCGTTTTTCTCGAAGATAGGGATCTCATCATTGATATCGATCACCTTGATGATTGCTTTACATTTCGTGAGGTAAACTACAAAAAAGCGGAAACGTTAGGATGAACGTTTCTCTTCATATATTGATATTTTCATTTCATTGATTTTGGTTTGCTGTTTTACCTTGATCAGTCACTTCAAAGGTGAGCTCATACTGAGGCACTTGTTTTCTCTGGAAGTTTTGATTGGCCACTTTGATTTCACCAGTGTTTGGGTCGATGGAGAACATTTTGTCACTTGGCTTGGTGGGTGTCTGGCTCCGGAGAGTGTAGGTTAAAGCTGAGCTTAGTGTACCCTCTTTATCATTGTCATGAGCAGGCAGATGACCAATCGAATTACCTACACATGCATATTATTATTGTTAATAATGTCAATGAAGGAATGGAGCAAACTGTTAATAATAAAAGTGGATTCAAAAGTCTGAGACCACAAATCTGAGATTCAAGATGTTACTGAAAGCTGGATATGGTAACATTTTAAACACATTATGATAGTAAAACCATAACACTGATCTTATTTGAAATTAGTTAAAGAGGACATAACAAATACTATTCAAACAGCCAGTTTTACTATGACAACTATTAGCTTGTGTCAAAGCAAGTCCTCTTTTGGAACAAAAAATACTGTTGGGATTTATATGGAGATAATCTAGGGCCATAAATACTTGCAAATTAAAAGAAAGTTTTGCAAACAAAAAATAAAGTATTGAGCTAAAAAAAATAATATAAATAAACAACAAATGCAAATCTAAAAAAAATTACAAAGCGAAAATTAATTTGACAAACAAATATAATTTTGCTAACAAAAATAATGAACTGCCAAGGAAAGTTTTGAAAAAAATAAAATTGACATTTGCTTAAAAAAAAAAAAAAAAAAAACAAGCAGTGCAAAAAAAACAACAACTAATATTTGCAAAACATTTTTCATAGCATTGCCTCTACAAAACCAAACATTACAAGGGAACTTGGTTGTTTACGGCAGGCCCAGACCTACTGGGCTGTAAGACCACTTTGGTGATACTGTGTCTCCAGGTGATGATGTTGCTTAAATGGATACAGGTATGTGTCTGCCGCAAATGCCCAAGTTCCCTTGACTCTGCCTCCTTTTCAAATCAGGGCCACAAAGTGAAACACACAGAAGTGTGAAGTGCAAAGTGAAAACAGCATCACAAACTCACGGTTGACTTAAAAGCAAATCAAAATAAGCATTGAAATTGAATGGACGTGTTTTTTAAAGGCAATGCTATAAAAATGTTTTGTATATATACAAACATTATTATGAAACTGAAAAAAATTCCTTCCACATACTTCACCATTGCAGTTTCTAGGTAAAATGAACACTACGGTGCAGTATGACACCAACAAATTGTGTTTCTTTTCACACTAATGATATTAGCAGGGAGATATTGTCAACAATATTTCTAGAGTTTTTTTTTCTTTTACTTTCATCAAATGGTGAAGTTTGTTCCTTTCCACTGTCGCCACTGGCTTGCTTGGTTTAGGACTAGTGGCGTTGCGCATCGATTGAGATGCTCTTTAGTGTTTGGCTTTCAGCAGTGACATTTACATTTAAAGTGAACTGAACTAGCTGAACATCAACTGTGAAAACTGGACTGAATTAACTTCAATTTACTAGAAATTTATCTATGTTAAGCTGCTTTGACACAATCTACTTTGTGAAGTAGAACATACGCGCTATAGAAATTAAGATGAATTAAATTAATAAATGATAATTTTTTGCACTGTTCCTTGCACAATACCATATAAATACCACAAAACAACAGTGTCTATGTATAACAGTGTCTATCTGTAATCAAATACGTTCAATACTATCTGGATGCAGCCTTTATGATGCAAGTTGAGACTGCATCACTTAGCGATGCAATGTCAGACACAATGCACTCAAATGGAGCTAGTGACATCACTGTGACGGGTAGGGTTAGGGGTGGGGTTAGGTGAGCCCATTAAAAAAGCATTGGATGCAGCCCAGATTGCACTGCACCAAGTCTGCAGCCAGACCCCTCTCAATATGTTTGCCTCCCCTATCGATCTCTATATGAACAATGTTTTGCTTGTGATGCAGAGTGCTTGGGTTCAAGCCAGGAGAGGTATATTTCCACAAAAGAGAAAAAAGCAATGTAAAATCAAGGTAAAACAAAAACGATACAAATGTAGACAGCGCCCCTCTAGTGGAAAGGGCATCTAAAATGTGCAACTAAATCTTAATGTACCTGAAGAAACATATTTTAGATTTTGCAAAAAAAGTAAGGAAGAGATGCGTATTTCCAATGAGCATGGGAAACATGGTATGGCATGGTAAATGCATGGTAAACTGCATTGTTTAGTAAGTGTAGCCCTAAGAATTTAGATCTAAAAAAAAAATTGTTCTGTCATATGATACTACAGGGGTGTTGCGCCAACCTGATTTCACCAAGTAGGACATGATCCTGGATTAACATCTATGTTGATCCTGGAACAACATTCCAATCATTTATTCATTCATTATCTCATTTTCTTTTTGGTTTAGTTCCTTTATTAATTTGGGGTCGCCACAGCGGAATGAACCGCCAACTTATCTAGCATATGTTTTACGCAGTGGATGCTCTTCCAGCTGCAACCCATCTCTGGGAAAACATTCCAATTAGCCAATCAGAATTAAGGCATATGTTTACCGTTTATGTTAAGCTTGGGCTTACAATTAAGTTTATGCACTTCTACATGATTGTTATTCAACTATTATCTCTTTGATTTTGGGAATAATGTACAGTTATGGTTTGGTTATAGGGTAGGGAATAGGTAAGAATTACATTTTCAAACAAACATTTTCCGGCAAATTCATTACATGCAGGGGTGTTGAGTGCTTGATTTTGATTCTATAACATAGACTAGTTTTCACTAACACACATCTTAAGCTCTTTAAATTAAATTATCTAAACAATCTCTGTTTAATAAACAAAGCTTTACCATAATAATTAACAAAACATTGATTTATTAGAAACTAATGCACACCCATATCATGGCATGCCTGCATCACTACCTCAAATCTGTTTTTTACACCCCTCCCATACACATCTTTAAACTGATGCAAATAAAGTATGTGTGTAAATAGTCTGACATCATTACCTACGGGCTCCTTTTCCTGCACCTCAAACAAAGCTTCATCACATATAGGAGGGTTGTCATTGACATCCTGCACCAGCACAGGAATCTCCATGGGTTTTTCCAGCTCCACACCCTGTTCATCTTCTGCTATGACTACCAGTATGTACTAAAACACAAACATATTCAGGTTCAACACTCAATGGTTATTGCAGTTTTTAGTCTGGTATGTATGATTTCTCTCTTCCAGTGCAGCTTTGCAAGCTTTTCATTTACCATTTCTTTCTCTTCTCTGTCCAGTGGACCGGTAACATAAATGTCTCCATCCTGATTGATGGTGAAGGGGAAGGAAAGTCTTTCTTTCTGTTCCAGTCTGTACAGTGCAGTGGGATTATTTGCTCTCATCTATAACAATAATAAAAAAATGTTAAAAAGAAACACAAAAATAGCGCTTGAAAATAGAATCTTCTGCTGCTAACCTTAATACATAGATATATAAACTAGATATCGCATACCGACCCCGAGCATGCGTCAATAGCGCTGCCACGTTTGTACAGTGCTCCCAGGACAAATGTCATTCAGCTGCACTAGTCAAGACTTTAGCGCTGTGTACGGGTGTAGTAACAAACAAAACCAAGCACAAAGGCAGAACATTTCATAGGTAAGATTTAGTTTTTTTGTATATTTCAAACTTTTGTGCTAAACAAATACGGATGATGATACAGTCTTTGTGCACTGATCATAAGGAAGGTAGCACACCTAACTCACACTAAATACCAGATATGCTAGTTTTGTTGAATTAAATCAGCAAACAATGTAAATGAAATATGACAACAAGAGGCTGCGGTGCTAGAAACTTGTATTAGTTTTGGCTAAGTGAATCTCGTTCATAACGGAGATTCATTCACAAACGAATCGCTCCCTCCGTTAAAATGAGAAGTAAAAGCAGGGGAGGGAGGGGTGTTTCAGGACTCCGGATTACATCAGATTTTACAGGGAGGGAGGATATTGCATTTCCATGCACACAAACACATGCTCTTTGTCAGCAATGCTCGTGCGATCACTTATCCATTAATGTAGAAAACTGATGTAAAATTATAATTTATGTCATTAAAAAAAATATTTGCCTATTGACCACAGGGAAAACTCCAATATATATATATATATATATATATATATATATATATATATATATATATATATATATATATATATATATATATGTGTGTGTGTGTGTGTGTGTGTGTGTGTGTGTGTGTGTTTGTGTGTATATCTCTGGCTCTGGATGGGCACAGTCCTCTACTGCACCTTGGTCCCACGTTCATTTCAAAGGAGCCCTACCCTGTACTAAAATGGCGGCTCTATTGACGCATTCCTTCCAATCGACAACAATAGCATAGGCGACATCTAATGTAAATATCCATGACCTTAATATAGAGAATATAGCATAGCATAGTATAACATAACATTTTGTAACTAGTGTAGCGTGGCAACATAAAGTAACTTAACATAGCATTACATGGGATAACATTACGTAACATAGCGTAGCAGCCAAACTTAACATAACATAGCGTAGCATAACATAACAACGTAACATAACAGTGTAATGTCGCACATAACATAACATGACATAACATGACGTGATATAACATAACATAACATAACATGACATAACATGACGTGATATAACATAACATAACATAACATAACGCTCCAAACTTACTGTGGCAAGATACATAGGGTATTCCTCATCTGTATTTTCTATAATGGTGATTGGTCCAGGACTGACCCAGAGGTTTTGAAGGATGGCTATATTGACCCGTGTCGTACTGCTCAATGAGTTCACAGCGTTGCCTCCCAAATCCTCAGCCCGAACAATCAGTGCATAGTCAGGATCCTGGAGAACATTCACTGTTCTTCTTTCTGTTCATGCCAAAATAAAACACTGGACTGGTTATTATTTAATTATCATCTAACATGGTTGTTGAGCAGCTTTCATGAGTGGTTCAATTTTATTTTCCAAAAGCGGCGTGAAGCCAACTGTTTAAGCCTCTTTTAACCACGGTGTTCCTGTTCTGTTTGGAATCTATATCATTATTTTTATTCTGGCTGTAAAGAATTGCATTTTTAAGGTTTCCCTTAAACTCGTGGAGAAATATAAAGAAACTAACTGAACAGACCTGCACATATCTGTCAGTAGTGTGATGATTATTGTTTTGAGCTGGTAATATGGATGCTGAATGTTGAAGTTATCTGGGTCAAATCCAGCTTCGTTTCTGAGGCTGCAGTAATCTGCACTGATGAACACAGTTAATCACTGCGCTCTTCTTTAAAGCATGTGTCACGTTTCACACACCAGAGCGATTCTAATCACAGAAGTGGTCATTCACAGACATTAATAGAGCCGTTTAATCTGTGAGTGTACGAGAGCGATCTAATCAGCATCCCATTTTAAATTAAATGTTCTGTCCTTCATTATTGTCTGATTTGCTTAACATCATCAAACTGAGAAGAGACATGGACACTGTTCCATTTGGTCCATTTTGGAAATTCCTAAACTGTATCAGAATTACATACTATACACTTATCGTATGGATCTTGTACTTAATAAATTTTACAAGACTATTTTGTCATCCAACATAAGAGTCCCTTCACTAGGAAAGAGGTAACAGTCGAGTGCATGAGGTTTTCAAAATTGCACAATTTTAATGGTTTCCATTTCATGGTTAATTAAGTGTTTCATCAAGTGCAATTTTTCTATTCAAAGTTTTCTTTGTGAACCCACTACTCTGACTATTTTCAATAAAAATGGAATAGAATATTGCAGTGTTTCAAAACCCACGTTCCTGGAGAACCACCAACACTTTATGTTTTGGATGTCTCCTTTGACTGTCACACCCATTACTGGTCTTTTTAGTTTCTGCTAATTAGCTGACGATCTGAATCAGGTGTGTGTGGTTAAGGAGTCATGGAAAATAGGCAGAGCTGGTGGTTGTCCAGGAATGTGGTTGAGAAAGACTGGAATATTGTATATGGATGAAAATATACATATAGAGTTTACTGCGAGGATCAGCTGATTTGAACTCTATATGCAGTAAAACACCAGCAACTTTTACTCCTTTTCATGCAAAATGTCAGTTAATAAAGACTGTGGTGTCACTTCAAAACATTTTTATTTAGTGTTTCTAAATAAATTTGCAAGCCTAATGCCAAATTGAGATACATAAAAGAGCTTCTATAGTAATCCCCACAATACAACATAATCATGATACTTTATTATTGTGATTTTAAATGAATCATTTGAATTAATTAAATTAATTGCGACATTGTTCAATATATTGCAGTTTACATTTTTCAATTATCATATTTTACTAATTTAAAAAGTCCCCAAAGGAAAACTTTGGCAACATATGTTGTAACTAAATACCAACATTTCTTTGTTTGTTTATCACACTTCAATATTATTGCAAAATGTGATTGACAACTGACTAATACTTTAATGTAAACCAGTCATAAAACAAGTCAACTTATCTGCAATGCCACTATTTTTATATCGCTAACTTACTGCTGTGATATTACTGTGATATATTGACATGGGTGCCCATGTATTGATATAAAATTTCCATAGAATATATTGCGATACTATGATTTAGGAATATTTCCCTAAGCGAAAACTGTGCCAATATTTCACAAACAAATCCAGCATTTTGCAAACAAATACAATCTGCTTAACAAAGAATCACTCAATTCACAAACAAAGAAAACCACTTTGTAAAAACAATTGTCACTTTGAGCAAAACCCCAGTGGTGTTAACAAACTAACTTATTGTATTTTACGAATTTAAATCATATTTCATAAACAAATACAGTAGATGTGAACATAACTGCAATTAGCCCTTGAACAAACACATCTAGTGCATACAGCTCCTGAATACATGTGGATTGTCTCACAAATGCAATCAGGCAAATTTTCTCACAAACGGATGGAGACAGATTTTCTCACAAATACATTGAAACAGATTTTCTCCTGAATGCATCCAGATGGCTTTTCTCACAAATGGATGGAGGCAGATTTTCTCATAAATGCAGTCAGACAGATTTTTTCACAAATACAATGGGACAGATTTTCTCAAAAATGCATCCAGACGGATTTTCTCACAAATGGATGGAGGCAGATTAATTTACAAATGCATTCATTCAGATTTTCTCACAAATGCATTCATTCAGATTTTCTCACAAATGCATTCATTCAGATTTTCTAACAAATGCATTCATTCAGATTTTCCCACAAATGCATTCATTCAGATTTTCTCACAAATGCATTCATTCAGATTTTCTCACAAATGCATTCAGACAGATTTTCTCACAAATGGATTTAGATGGATTTTCTCACGAATGCAGTCAGATAAATTTTCTCACAAATGGATGTAGGCAGATTGTCTCACAAATGCATTGACATTTAGGCAAATGTTCTCACAACTGCACCTGGGCCATTTCCTACACTAAGATAGCAGATGATGTTAAGAGTAAATTTACTCTATGATGATGTTAAGGAATTACTCTCCTAGGGGAAAACCTGAAACCACTGATAACTACAGTGTCAAAGTCGAGTGATCCTTTGCAAAGTAGATTGTGTTTGTTTTTAAATACTAGATTTGTTTGTGAAATATTGGCAGAGATTTTGCACCATAATTTCTCCCCACTCCTAGTATTTAAGTCTTTACACAAACTTTAACGCTGCACAGAGGTTTATTATAGGTTAATTTATATGACATTTATATGACAATAATGCTAGATCAAGGTAGCTCAGAGTAAGCCAGATTTAGTGCAGCATTTATTTAGGTGTGAAGACATCTTATAATTGTTAAATACATGATCATTGATTGTTTCTGTGTTTTCTGACCTGCACGTTCAACACATTTGTAAAAGGGGTTGTTCTCCAGTGCAATGTTGTTCTTTGGAATACAATAGTCCTCAAACTTTTTCTTCAGGACGTCAGGACTGCCTCGAACCTCCCCACGGCTGTACGTTACGCTAGGTCTGGCCTTCAGAAACTCTGCTCCTGTAACACAACAGCAAGAAATGAGCAATAACAAACAAAAATTACAATCATAAAAAATAACTCTCAATTATCAGCAATGTTGTTTCTTGTTCATATATATGTTGCCGTACCTTCTTCTGTTGTAAATATCTGTCCATTGTTTGGATTTATGCCAAAGAAAAATGTTTGCCCGACAATGGGGATTTGATTTACAATGCTGAACCTCAGCTGAGTGTTTTCTGTGTTGGGATCATCCGCATCTGAAGCAAACACCTGCACGAATGGAACTCCTGCATAAAAAATATATTTGTATATACAGGATATTAGCAAATAGATGTATCACGTTTCTGCATCCGCTGATAATGTGTGTGTTTCTCACCTGCAGGAGAGTGCTCTCTAACACTGCCACTGTACTGACTCTCACTAAAGACAGGAGGATTGTTATTGACATCAATCACTTGCAGTACAACCCGGGCAGGCCCATCAAGAGTTTTACCATCTTCTGAAAGTGCTTCAATCTGGAAAAACCACACGCACACGCAAACGCACACGCACAAACACACACACACACACACACACACACACACACACACACACACACACACACACACACACACACACATACACACACACACACACACAGTACTATATATTTTTTTTTTCTATAATTATAATAATTTATAACATACTATATTATATATTTGCATAATAAGCACAATTTTAAGAACTACTGTACCTTGTTTACATCCGTTTACATTATTCCACAATCAGTATTATATGTTATTTACATTCATAGATATTTAGAATTTCATTGTACAGGGAAATGTGTTTCCTTACTGTGCACGACAATAAACAAATTGAATTGATTGAAACATATTAATGAATATTATAACATATAACTCGGGAGCATTTAAATATGAAAGTGAACGCTCTAAATTATTGTTGTGGTTTTGGCTAACCTCAATTTGCTATAATTTACAAAGAAAAAGTGTTTTCTATATTTTAAACTACAGTAATCAAAATTTGAAGTTGACCAAAAAAAGGTTTTTCAAAACTCCCCTAAGACAAGAATGGGTGCTGTTCTGTAGTTTTAAGACAACTTTGATAATGGGTTGGAACCACTTCAAATGTTGACTACTGTATACGAGTTACTTCCAGTTTGAGGATGTTTCACTCAAAATATTGAACCAAATCATTATAAATTATAAAGTTGAGCTAAATAAAATTCAATCTGTCAGTGTGACTGAATGAACAGTACATATTCTTTCATGTTCTATTTTCAAACATTAGCAGATTAATGTAACACTTGGTATTTTGATGATGTACCAAGAATATTGATAAAGTCTAGATTCAGCTGCGGATACTCATTTTTGTGACACTGTACAACAAATATAATTTTATTTTCATCACTGTGAGGGGTAGGTTTAGGGTTGGGGTTGGGCATAAAGAAAATACGATTTAATGAGTAATTTAATAAATAATGTGAATAACACTTGGTATAATTACTGTTTTACAGTACTGTGATGGTTGGATTTAGGGTTGGGGTATAGGTAGACATTTATAAAATACAATTAATGTTTAATTTTATAAACAATTCTTGTTATCTTCTGGCCGCAGCTGTAACCCTTCTAGCAACAACCAAGTATATCTACTAGGATCTATGTTTCATCTGCTGCCTTTACTGTTTGTTTTCATTTTCTTTTTCTATTCACAAAATATCTCAAATAAATAGACAAATAATTGTTAATATAAAAAAGCAAAGCAGTGCTGGTGAGGATACAAAATCACTTGAAAATATTATCACTCAATGTTCCATTTAATGGTCATTTTTAATAAGGGAAATGTATGTAATAATTAGCACACCTGTAAAATCACTGCTGGAATAATTAGTCTTTGGGGGTTATTCAGGTTTTGCTGAAAGTATTTTGTGAATGTTGTATATTTCTAAATTTACTTTTGATGTTTTAAAAGTTCCTTGAACCCAGTTTTTAAAAATATTTACTATTGAGTACACAGAGCAAATCTGTCAATGGTCGATTATTCTTAAATAGTCCTCATGGATCACTGGAAAAAGGTGAACTTGATTAGAACTAATCAATAAGAATTAGAACTTGATTTAGTTGCTTCTTGGAGAAATTACTAGGATTAAAAAAAATTCAAGCTTGCTCTACAAACAAGTGTATTCATGATTATTCATTCAAAGTAGAATAATATAATAAGAAAGTATCAATTTACAACATCTAGCAGCATAACAGCCTGTTTTAATTTCTAAAAATCAATTTAATCGAATGAGACCAGAAGTCTCGAGCCAAAAAGATTCCAATGAAGGTGCCTCGTCTTATATGAAGAATAAGGTCAATACATATACCTAAAACAATGTTATCTTGTGTTACTTTTTTAAATATTGAAGTTCTTGTATTTTTTTGTGTTGTGTTTTAGACTGCAATACTAAATTACAAGTAGATGGTGTTTTTTCTCAGGGCTCCATTCCAGAGGTTGCTCCAAGTACAGCCAGCCGTCCGAGGAGATCCTGACCTTATCTTCGGTCTCTCCGCTTACATGGTATGAAGAAACGTCTTCAACTGCAGATGTAAACTGAACAACAGGAATGTTTTCAATTGATATATCAAACCTTTGTTGACAACATATAGTACAAATAATAAAATATAGAAAATGAACCATTGAAACACATGTACCTTGAAGAAGGCATAAGGCACAGGTGTAGCCTCTGGCACATCTAAAACCATATCTATTAATGGCCCCTTTTTGTCCTCTAGATCAATCCCATGACCCTGAAAGAGAAAAAAACAAGGGAGACTTGTGAAGCCATGTGAAAAATAGCACCCTTATTATCTTGTTAAATAGTAAAAATGACCGTATTAAAGAGATGGCAATAAATATGTCACTGGAGATATTTACATACATTATTAAAGATACATGTAAGGTTTTATAAGATGCTTAGAACCATTTTATACCTTTTTTAAAAAGGAAAATAATAGTTATACACCTGATGAGATAATAGATTATATGTAGATGGAAAATGGTGGACATTTTTTATTCTATTTAATTTATTTTATTGTACAGTTTTTATATGTATGCATATGTGCATATATAATGGGCGTATTTGTGTCTTGTGTGTGTACACAGCATTTATATTTGTCTTTATTCTCCTTGCTAATTTTGTTTTCTTTCTTTTTTTTGTAAGGTGTTGACTACCACAAATAAATATATTAGACCATTTATGTTGTAAGTTTGTGTGTTTTATAATTAGTTGTTTTTGTTGTTGTTGTTGATATATAGAATGAAAATAATTTAAATAGACATTATTAAAGATAAGCATATTGTGTAATCAGTAGGCTCAAGTGAAACTTGGGCTCGCAGAAATTCACAGATTTTTTTTTTTGCTTATGTAAAAATTATAAGTATAAATGTGTCTTAAATGTGTATAAAACTATCATCAGTTTTTTTAATAACTTCAGTAAAATTATTGAATAACATGCAAAGATTTTGATTATGTACAATATAGTTTGTTCTAAATTTTCCTAACAGATTTATAAACCTTAAAAAAAGTTTTAAAATAAAGCTTGTTCAAAACGTTTGATGTATGTTTAATGTATTTAATGTGTTAGGTGCTTATTTACTTTACTCTCTAAACCATTCCGCATTCCACATTTTAACAAGATTCTGTGCATAAATAGCAAAAAAAAAGTCTGCAGATTTTGCCTGGCCTTGGTTATCAATATTAACACTAACGAGCAACATTAGTCTTCCTTTTTTATGCAGGATTTTATATTCATTATAAAAACTAAAACTGACTAAAAACTAAAAAACTAAAAACTAAAAAACTGACTAAAAAACTAAAAACTGACCAACTAAACTTCTCTGACCACATTTTATAGAACTGCTCGATCGTGCAGATTTGCACTCTATAACATCAGAAAGATCCGACCCTTCTTATCTGAACATGCAGCTCAACTCCTTGTTCAATCTCTTGTTCTCTCCAAACTGGATTACTGCAACTCTCTACTAGCTGGGCTACCAGCTAACTCTATCAAGCCTCTTCAACTGCTCCAGAATGCAGCAGCACGAGTTGTCTTCAATGAACCTAAACGAGCACATGTCACTCCGCTGCTAGTCCGTTTGCACTGGCTGCCAGTTGCTGCTCGCATCAAATTCAAAGCTCTGATGTTTGCCTACAAAGTGACTTCTGGCCTAGCACCTTCTTATCTGCACTCACTTCTGCAGATCTATGTGCCCTCCAGAAACTTGCGTTCTGTGAATGAACGTCGCCTCGTGGTTCCATCCCAAAGAGGGAAAAAATCACTTTCGCTCACGCTCACGCTCAATCTGCCCAGTTGGTGGAATGAACTCCCTAACTGCATCAGAACAGCAGAGTCACTCGCTATTTTCAAGAAACGACTAAAAACTTAACTATTTAGTCTCCACTTCACTTCCTTATCTGCAATTGCCTCTTTGAATATCACAGTAACTGTACAAAAAAAAAAAAAAAAATACTAATACTACTAATACTTCCCTTCTTAGACTTTACAGACCTGAAACTTGCCTTTAGTACTTATTCATTGTTGCTCTTAGTTGTGTAAATTGCTTCCTTGTCCTCATTTGTAAGTCGCTTTGGATAAAAGCGTCTGCTAAATGACTAAATGTAAATGTAAATGTAAATATAACAGCACAAAAATATTTAATACATTTTAATAATTTAATATATATGTTCATAATTTTTTTGTAAAGTGCATAGGGTCATTTAAGAACAGAAATATTCACCTTTATTCCTAAAAATCACAATGTTTAATACACGACAATGCATGTTTCACGCATAATTACAAGTATAAAACAAATAAAAATGTCATCACAAAAAAATCTGAAATGGCTTGAATGACATTTACTGTGTGCAATCAAATTAAAGCTTCACTACTGTTGCATTTGGTGAAAAAGCCTTAAGCAATCCAAATACTGATTTTCAATACAGACACAATAATGGTAACAATTTTTAAGTAATGGTCCGGTCCATTAGTTAATGTATTTACAAACATTAACAAAGGATCAATAATCTTGTAAAGCATTTATTAATCATCATTCAACATTACTAATGCATCATTAAAATACAAATTTGTGCTTGTTAACATTAGTTAATGCAAAGTGAGTTAACATGAACTAACGTTATGTAATTCAAATAACATTAACAAAAATGAATAAATGTCATATTAAATGTATTACTAATTGTTTGTTTGTGTAAGTAAATACATTAACTAATGGACCATTACCTCAACATATTTCTAAATATGGTTGTTATCACAAATATGAATATGCTAAACAGGTTTTTGTGACGGTTAAAACCATCTGCTCAAATTAAATGCTTGGAAGTTTCAGGAGGTAACAAAATATTATACTACAGTAGTCTACAACAAAAATATCTACAATAAAGAGAGCTGAGAAAACACCATCAATTTAACAACACATGCAAACACAGAAACGCATATATCGCGTATATCGCAACATATATAAACAAGACCCCAAAAAGTGCTGAATATATATATAAAGGTTTATATATATATATATATACAATTTCATATTTAGTTTAACAACCTGGTAGTACAGTTTCTTGTTGTTTGTTAAAAAAAAAAAAAAAGAAGGAAGCACCCAACACATTTCTGTTGTGGTCTGTGCTAGTTTTTTATTTTTATTTTCATGCGTTTTCTTAACTTGCAGCACGTTTGAGCTTTCTGTCAACGTAATTAAGAGTTTTATGATATTGCAACCGTGATGCATATACACTCACCAGCCACTTTATTAGGTACACCTTACTAGTACCAAATCGAACCCCCTTTTGCCTTCAGAATTGCCTTAATCCTGCGTGGCATAGATTCAACAAGGTATTCCTTTAGAGATTTTGGTCCATATTGACATGATAGCATCATTCAGTTGCTGCAGATTTGTCAGCTGCACATCCATGATGCGAATCTCCCATTCCACCACATCCCACAGGCCCTCTATTGGATTGAGCTCTGGTGACTGTGGAGGCCATTTGAGTACAGTGAACTCATTGTCATGTTCAAGAAACCAGTCTGAGATAATTCACGCTATATGAAATGGCGAAGATTGGTACACTGCAGTCATAAAAGGATGGACATGGTCAGCAACAATACTCAGGTAGGCTGTGGTGTTGACATGATTCTCAATTGGTACTAATGGGCCAAAGTGTGCTAAGAAAATATCCCCCAGCCTATTACACCATCACCACCAGCCTGTTGTTGAAGCCAAATTCTGACCCTACCATCCAAATGTCGCAGCAGAAATCGAGACTCATCAGACCAGGCAACGTTTTTCCAATCTTCCATTGTTCAATTTTGGTAAGCATGTGCAAATTGTAGCCTCAGTTTCAAGTTCTTAGCTGAGAGGAGTGGCACCCGGTCTGGTCTTCTGCTGCTGTAGCCCATCAGCTTCAAGGTTGGACATGTTGTGCTTTCAAAAATGCTCTTCTGCATACCTCAGTTTTAACGAGTAGTTATTTGAGTTACTTTTGCCTTTCTATCAGCTCAAACTAGTCTGGCCATTCTCTGACCTTTGAACCCACAGAACTGCCGCTCACTGGATATTTTCTCTTTTTCAGACCATTCTATGTAAACCCTAGACATGAGTGTGCGTGAAAATCCCAGTGGATAAGCAGTTTCTGAAATATTCAGACCAGCCTGTCTGGCACCATCAACCACGCCACGTTCAAAGTCACTTATATCACATTTCTTCCTCATTCTGATGTTGGTTTGAAATGCTGCAGATCGTCTTCACCATGTCTACGTGCCAAAATGCATTGAGTTGCTGCAATGTGATTGACTTTGAAATTTGCATAACCAGTGGTTGGACAGGTGTACCTAACAAAGTGGCCAGTGAGTGTATCTACACCAGTCATGAAGGTGCGGATTATTGAAAACTTAAATAATAATTTAACAATGATTGGTAAAACAGTCATATATTTAAGGGTTACTTACTGTCATTTTTGCAAATTAAACAGTCATTTATTTAATACCAAGTCAATAATCAGTAAACGTGCTGTGAACGAGGTTGCTGAACATTTGCCCTTCTCTGTGGATTATTTATGTAGTGAAAAAAAACAACTTTCCAAATGGCTTAATGAATCCAGATTAAGTCTTTGTGTCAGGTCTTTGACTGATTAATGGCGTGTGAGCAGAAAAACGGTCTTCAGCACAGTTACTCATTTATGGATGGAATAAAAGACGGTGAGGAGACTGCAAGGTCACTGAGTTAAAATCCTACTACTTACAATGCTGACGAGAAGGGTCAAGTGTAGCAAAAGTGCACCTCTCATCGTCCCAAGCAGTAAAACCTGATGGAGGACATATCAGACATAAGATTTAATTAAAATACCTTTCCAGCAAAAGCAATTATAGTTTATAGCAGTGTTATTTATTTATCAACCGACTTTATTGTATGGCTGTTCCACAATTCCTGCTGTGCAAATTGACATATGATCTAAGCCAACATGGTGACAAAAGTCTAATTTGCCCCTTCAGGAAATAGCCCATCTGCTTCTTTAATGCTGAACTTCAGTCAATGATTATTAGCTGAAAGCACTATTCAACCAGTTGTCCTGAATCCTAATATTTTAATAAATTACACATTTATTTAGGATTTACAATGTCTTTTCTCTGTGAATGTACAAGAAAATCCTGCTTCTTTTATTTATTTCCCATCTCATGTTTATAAAAATAGAGAATTTGATGGTGAGATCATGACTCGCGTCATATGGCGCAGTGTGTGTGCACTGTCTGTGTGTGTGTGTGTGTGTTTTAACATGAATCGCAGCCCATAAAAAGGTTATTTAAAGGTCGCTTGGCATTCAAGCGTGGGCAACGCCTCCTGTGCCAGACAGTGCTGACTATGTGCGCATGTGTGTCACTGCTGTATCACACTTTATCAGATTTAACAATGTCTATACCAGGGGTGCCCAAACCTTTTCTTAAGAAGGGCCAAAATCCAAGCTTTATTTTAGAGCTGTGGGCTGAAGGTAAATACAACATACTGTCTTGTATTAAAGTTGCCATGGATAATTTCGTAATTCATTTTAATAATGATTAAATAGAAAAAGAAAAGATTACTTCAACCATATTTACTAATGCATTCTAATTTTTTGAAAATGTATTTTATTTTAATGAACTTTGTCTTGATTTGCATGCTGTCTTCTGCTTTGTCCTGTATTCATTAAGTGACACTATGTACATTTTTTAAAAATCATTGCAAAATTTAATTGAAACATTTAATTTAATTTTTTTGTAGCTCAACAATTTAACAAACAGAAAAAAGATAATGATGATAATCTCTGTTAAAGGCATTCCACACCCCTTCCCAATCATTTTCCCTCTGGTAGGCCTAATCAAAAGACACAAAGGGTCAACTTTGGCCCGCAGGCCCTAGTTTGGGCATCTCTGGTCCATACTTACAATCACTTCGCAAAGCATTTCAACCCTTTTAACTGCCCCTCTAAACAACGGTTGACCATGTTTTTACTGTTTTAAATAATGACTGTTAAACGCATTTAAAGAATGACTGTTTTAAATATTAGTTTACAGTACACAACATTGTTGGTTTACAAACTTTTGGTTTAATTGTAAAAAAAAAAAAACAAGAAAACATGTTGAATGATAATTTGAACTATGTTATGGCATACTTAAAAAAGTTGATTAGGCATTCCAAAATGTTTTATTTTGAATATTTTTTTTTAATAAATTAGTCTCAAACTTCATATTTTCAGATTTTTTATAGTTAATGTATTAAGCCCGGTACCTTTACCATAAATTGACATATGTACCATTTGGTAGATGTTTGGTATTTTAGAAATTATGGACTGTGTTAAAAAAATTGATTGAATGTGTTACATTAGGAGTTAAGAAATGCAATCTAAACATTTTTTTCTTGGTAGGGTAGTTAAAGGGTTAAACAAATAAATAACCATTTAAATTAGGAACATGTGGATTAACACGTGGAAAGAGAAATACATGTATGAAATGTGTTTAAAGGGATAGTTTACAAAAATGAAAACTCTGTCACCATTTAATCACCTTTATTGTTCTGTTAAACGCAAAAGAAGATAATTTGAAGAATGTTGGAAACCGGTAACCATTGACTTGCAAAGTATTTGTTTTTCCTACTATTGATATCAATGGTTACAGGTTTCAAACAATATTCAAATGATCTTCTTTTGTGTTCAACAGATAAAAAATGTTTTTTAATAAGTTAATGGTGAGTAAATGATAACCAAAATAATTTTTGGGGGGTGAACGATCCCTTTAATTCGATTTCCTGGGCATGTATTTCTATCACTTTATTTCTTTTTTTGTGTATTTGACGCATTATCAATATCCATCCAGTCAAAAGAAAGACTTTTTCAGAGTCATTTCTAAGTCAAAATTAACTAAATTCTCACATTAAATGGTAACTTTTTGATTTGAAGTGTTTTCGTGACAAATGAAATGAATTGGTATCTCAGTTAAGTAAACATTGGTCATTTATCAGACACTTTGGTAAATGAAAGTAAATTTCAGATCATCAATCAATACTGGAATTTGCGTAAAGGTGTGGTACCACTTAATCCCTCACTAAACAGATTTATCTAGATAAACACTAAATGGATTTATCAAGAAATATTTATCTGATCAAACACATAATGTGTGTAACCAGATAAACATCTTAAGATAAATCCGACTGCATTGTGTGAATCCGTCTAACAGCAGATTAAGCTGTGTTGGCTGAAATTGTGTATTGAAATCAGCTGTAGGTTTAGTGCTTTTGTGATACTGGATTTTTATTTCTCTTGTAGGCTATCTGTCGGATCTATTGTGAAAGAAAGGCACGCCTTGAGACAGATGTGATACAAGGTGACATTGAAGATAATGTGACCTCTGATAAGCTACTTTAGTTTGTCTCTCGATTGACACAATTGGTGGATATTAAAGTTTCTTTATATACGACATGAGGATTCAGGATGTTCTGGTGGACAAGCTGAAATCAAAACTCCCGTCTTATGTAATAAAACTAATCTCAACCAGAGAAAGCCCTAAGTAAAGCATGAATGAACTGTATGAGCTGAAAATGTTAAACCAAACGCAGAATATTTAAACAAGACACCCCAAAAATGCAATGATAATCCATTAACATGAGGCTAGACGTCTATAAACTACTGCAGAGTAGCTAATATCAAGGTTTGAGAACACAAGGCCACAAGCTTGTGACCTCTGATGACTTTCTTATAGTATGAGACGAAAAAAGCACCACTTGTTCCTCAACAAAATACGCTAATAAATAGATATTCCAGAATGCAATACAACGACGCAATGGCAAGTGTTCATATCTTTAAATGCCCTTCCATATAATCTGGTCAACACCCTACTGAAAGTACTGAGCAAAGTCAAACAAGATCACAGCTTTTGATACAGCTTGAAATTATAACACAGATGAATATTGGTAATCAGTGACACATACTTTAAAAATCTATCTAATCAGAGAAATGACTAAGAAGGAATAATTTAAAAAAGAATTAGAGACACAGACCTGTCAGCAGAGCTCCTCTCCTCAAAAGACTGTAGAGTTTCAGTCTTGCTGCGCTTCCTGCTCAAGTCAAAGTTTAACTTGCCTTTATTGAGCCTAATCATTATCCACTGATTCACCATGAAGGGGAGTGGACTGTACATTTGCGGTATTTTATAGTACAGTTTGGTGAATAGTGAACGGAATTGGTGGATGTGTTAATTCACAAATAAGCATTTCATTAAAACAAGCTTGCTTGTATAATCTCTTGCGACTTCTGCAATCAGAGGCCCTACTTTTAATATTATCAAGGCGATAAGGACAAAGAAGATGAGCTAAATTGAGGACAAGCTTGGAAATGTTTCTGAAAACATGTTAATGTACATTGCCAGAAAGCTTAAAGGTGACCTTCACAGGACTTGAGTAATACTGGCCTGCAATCTTTGATCCTTGATCTTTTGACAGACTCTGGCTTGCTTCTTGTTTGAGTGTCGGTTCTTCTGATACTGAAAAAGAGCACATTTTTTCAGGATTTCTGAGGTACTTATTAGTGACACCTAAAGTTCGAATGTGTGGCTTTCTCTTTCTGTGAAGCACAGGATCTGATACATTTAAAAGGTGATTTTTAGATTCCTGTAATTTTCATTGTATCTACGGTGAAGCAAACGTTCTTTGAGATCCAATCTGTTGTGTTTCAGAGAAGAGCGAAAGAACGGTTTGAAGATTCAAAGAATGAAATTAATTTATGGAAAATTGGTTTGAATTCTGTAAAACATTAACGTCTGTTAAAGCGATCCTTTACATGTAAATGTGTATGGTTAAAGGCACCTTGAGTAGCAGTTACTCAAGCAGTTCCCAAGGTTTTCAACTGAGTAATTATTATGCAGCCGTATCAGCACAATGTTGAGTAGGAGAGTTTAAAGGTTAAGATTAGGAACCAAGATATTTACTGCAGATATCAATTCTGAAACAGAGAGGTTTAAATCCTTGGTTATTGCCGCTCTAAACCCACAATAGATTATTTCACACTTGGGACTATCAGCACTTTCTAACCAGGGTTAAGAAACCATGCCCTATAGAACATGAATAACACTGAACAATCCTCAACTGTACATTTCCCATATGGTTATTTTTAGGAACCAAAAAAGAAGGATCTGGGAATGTTCTTGCATTTCATTTTCCTTCGGCTTAGTCCCCTTATTAATCAGGGGTCACCACAGCGGAATGAACCACCAACTTATCCAGCATATGTTCTACATAGCAGATGCCCTTCCAGCTGTAACCCAGTACTGGGCAACAACGTTCTTTGTATAGGCCTTTTTTAACCTTAACCTTCCCAATATATTGCAGGGAGGTTTATTCCTAATAGCTTGATGACAAAATGATAGTTGACCCACCTTTACTTGGTCCAAACCTGTTTGTGTTTCTTATAATTCTGTTAATCACAGCACAAGGGAATATACCCCGAAGAACATTGTGTAGAAAACTAGCCATTGACTTCCATAGTATTTTGTGTTTCAACAATTACTGCACTGTAAAACCCAAAAAGTTAAGGTAACTCAAACCATTTAAGGACACTGATTGCAACCAACAATTTAAGTTTAAAAACTAATTCTAATGAGTTCTGTGAACTTAATCCATTTGAGCAAATAGCAGTTTGAGCACAGTGAAACCCAATAAATAAAGAGAACTCAAACCAACTGAGTACTGTAAAACCTAGTAAGTTAAGGCAACTCAAATCGTTTGAGGAAACCAATCGCTAAACCACTTGAGTTAAACTAATCTATATGAGTACTATGAACTTACTCCATTTAAGTTAAAGTAATGAGGTATTTAATTAACTCATTACCTTCAACACTGAGTTCAAAACTCTTTTCAAATGGTTAGAATTAACTTTCAGTCAATTTTGAGTTAACTACACTCATTTCATTTAATAAATTTGACTGTTGGGTTTTACAGTGTAACAGCTTGATGTTTCTTTCTTCTGTTGAACACAACACAAAGGAAGATATATTGAAGACTGTTGGTAAAAAAAAATCAGCTGTTGGCTTCTAACATATTTTTAAAACAATTGCTGCTTCATCAAAAGAAGACAGAAATTCATAAAAGTTTACAACCACTTGAGTGTGAGTAATGGAAATGTCCTTTTAATTTTCAGGTGAACTATGCTTTTGATAAGAACAAGGGATTCACTTTCTCTAGTTTAATAAGCCCCATCTAAACATGATGCTGCTTACAGGAACTGTAATACAACAATTTTCAGTAATATAGTAACATAGTGAGCGTCTAACAAATCATTGAGTCCGCCAGCTGCCTCATACATAAGAGATCTGGCAGGAAACGGCCCTAAAATACCTTACAATCTGTTATCCTGCTCATTTACAGTAAAAGCACAAACAGGCAACACAGCTGCCTAATTAGCTATACCGTTTCAGCACATACACTACATTCATAATCATTCAGTCCTCATCCTCACAGCAGTGATCACACACCAGCTGAATGTGTCATTTTTTGTCCTTCTCACCTTGGAAAGGAAAAGAGGAGGAGTGTTTCTGAATAACAGGAACAAATGTGTTGCTGTATTACACACATATATTAACCAGACGGGCTTAATGCTGTAATAAAAAGGACATTATCTGTGAATTTTTAAATATAAAATATTGAATATATATATATATATAATATAAACTATATAAAATAAATATATAAACAGTGCTCTGCATGTATAAGTACACCCCTCTTACAAATCTCTTTTAAAAGTTATATTTTAATAGGAAGTTTACAATATTATATTAGTGAATAAACATTATTAGTCAGTACAGAAGCCAAATCAGGAGCTTATCTAACAAAATAACTTACAATAACAGTACAAAAACTAGTCCAACCAATTTATGTTATAAAAAATATTAAATACAAATTTTAAAAAGAAGAAAAATCAAGAGAAGCAAAAAAAAATTTTGGAAAAATTTACTTGAAATTTTGCAGGCTGTAATTTTTGCAATATTTTGCTTGAATTTAATTGTATTATCTTTCAAGTTCTAAATATGATTGGTGACTAAAATATTATTTTAGAAAAATATATCTGTTTAATGAATCTGTTTTGTTTAAATGCACCAAAATACATTGATTATATTCACTGAGAAATTGAGAAAAATATTCCTTTTCAAAATGGGGTGTACTCAATTATTAGTGCTGTATGTGTGTGTGTGTGTATATATATATATATATATATATATATATATATATATATATATATATATATATATATATATATATATATATATATATATATATATATATATATGGGATAATTGACAGATTGTCGCGTATTGAAGGATTTTAAAAAGCTTTATGTAAGGAAAAGGATGGATGCTTCAATAAAGTGCATTTTAACACTTGAACACACACCAAGTCATTTATTATCCTGCTTATTTCACGGTCATTTGCCAAGTTATGCAGTCTCAGAAATAAAAGCTGTCGTTGGGGTGGTACCTTGTAAACTTTTGTAAATTGTAAACTTTTACAATTTATAGCTGCAAATTAGTACCTTTAGGGTTCCTTTAAGGTACTATGAGGTACACATTTGTACTTTTTAGGTATTAATATGTATCTTTTAGCACTTGTTAGGAACAAAAAAGTACCTTTTGAAAAGGTACTGCTCCGGTGACAGATTTTGTACCTTTATTTCTGAGAATGTAGACAAGTTTTGCAGCGTAATATTTGACCACATTTTTAGCAGTTATGACATTAGATCTCCTAGTCCATGCTTTGGGTTGGTAAGTCAGAAAAAGTGTGAAAATGTAAATGACATGGGCATATCTAATAGCTCATATAGTAATAAGTTAGCAACCTTTTTGGCAAATATTTCTGAGCATATTTGCCTGTCGATTTCCTGGTGAAGCACATGCCAGTGTCATTGAGATTACAGTCATAGAGTAAACTAATGTTTGAGGAAAGCATATTTATTTAAACTGCTGTCATAACTGACTGGACTACCTGTGCATTAAATTATTTTATTGCACAATTTCCAGCCAATCAGAATCAAGACTTTTAATAGACCATATGAAATAGATATACAATTTGTAAGTCACACTGATTACATTGGTAATGTAAAAACAACATCTGTTACAGTTGACATAAATCTTTAGAATGTTCATTTTTTGTTCATGTTGGCTGAGGTTTTAATATTGCAATATCAACTAACTTTAAATATTACAATTTATTTTAAGGTTTCTTTGTTACAGTGTAACTATTCCTTTAAATACTAAGTAATATTGATTAATTACATGTTCTTACTATATATGTTTATGGTCAGAATGTAGGTAAGGTTTGAATTGGTTGCATGTAGTTATATGTTATCAATTGTCATCACTATAGTAATTATATTTAAAGTTTAATTACTGTAGGTTTCAAATTTGACATTAAACTTGTTTTCTGATATTGTATATTTCGTCACCTTGGAATTATAAGGTTCTATCTGCGTTCTGAATGATTTTAAGATATTGAGCTTCAACGCTTTTGCATTCCATAGCAAACAGTATGTGTGTAACATTTGTTTTTTTAAATAAAAAGTCTTAAAATGTAAACAACTTCTAGAAAAAAAAAACATCCCATAAAGTAAATAAGTTGTCATTTAATAAGAATGTCAATAACTCAATTTTGACAAAGATGTCAGATAGAACCCTATAATTCTAAGGTGACGATTTGTTGAAAACACATTTGACTGACATTTTAAATCAACACTTTATCCAAAGATTCAGGAGAAATTACAAATGTGCATAATGGACAAAGAACAACATATACAGCATCTGTATCTAAAGCTAATCCCTGCATATTAAACCCCCACTAACAGCTGGCATATACATTCTGATCAAGGTTAATGTGTGTACTTCAGACAATGTCAGGAAAATTATTAAGGACATTAAAAAAAAAGCAACTAAAGCATATATGATTCATCATATAAAACAATATTTTATTGGTTATGGATATCATAGGCTCAAACTGAGCAAAAGTTGGACAAAACATGTTGTTTTTACACACACATCCACATAAATGTACACACAATTCAAAAGTAATTCCATCAGGAGGATCATATAA